AATGGGGTTGTTTGTTTTCTTCTTTTCAGTACGTTTCAGTTCCTTGTAGATCCAGGATGTTAAGCCTTTGTCAGACCTAGAGTTGTTTTGCCCACTTTTTAATGGGGCTGTTTGTTTTTTTTCCTTTTGGCTTGTTTGAGTTGCTTGTAGATCCTAGATGTTAGGCCTTTGTCAGATTTACAGTTGGCAAATATTTTTTCCCATTTTGTTGGCTGTGTCCCCACTCTCTTGATGGTTTCTTTGACTTTGCAGAAGCTCATCAGTTTGATAAGGTCCCACTTGTCTATCTTACTTCTGCATCTCGATCACCCGCTGAGTAGTTGATCCGCTGGTCACAGAGATGGGGTTTGTTTCTCCATAGTGAGCAAGTCCGAGCACTTTCCTTCCCCCTTTTCAAGATGGTGGTGGTTGCCTCTTTCATCTTCTCTGGTGGGACTCTGCCTCTGGGCTCTCTCTGCAGCACTTGCTGCCAGTGTCTGGCCAGGTGCCGAAGTGGTGAGGCAAAACCTGGAACCGGCATTCTCTCCACTTCTTTGCAGGAAAACTTTTGTCAGTTTAAAAAAAATGGCTCTCAGTTTCTGTGGCTTGTGAAGTGCTAGGGACTAAGCAGAGCAGCTGCAGCACTTAGTCTCTCCCAGCATCTTCTTTCCAGGAAGGGTTTTGTTGATAACGAAAAGAAAAAGGCACTCGACTTCTGCATCCCAGGAATCACTAGGGTCCAAGTCATGCAGCTGCAGCACCAGCCACTGCAGCAGGAGAGCCCTGGCTGCTTGCTCCTGAGCCCCCACTCAGTCAACCACTCACTCACCTACATGTACGCAAAATTTTCCATACACTCACTCACACTAGGACTTGCACAGTCTGACTGACTCGGCCGTCATCTTCCCTCTCTCTCCTCCTCCTGATTCTTCTAGACAGCTCAAGAGTTTCTGATTGAAAACTTTTCACACATTAAAAGCAATCTCTTAACTCATTGGTGTCTGAATACCATGGCAAGAAGGATTTGTTACATGAATATATGCATCAAAGATATGCTGCTGGGTTACTGTTAAGCAGTAGTAGCAATCTGAATATAAAAAGCTTAGTAAAACCACAAAGTAGGATTTGGGATCACTCTTTGGTGAAAATATTAAAATGCATGGCTTTAGTAAGTGCTTTTAATTCTATTTTGCAAAGTTTAACTGTAGTGTATTGTTGCAGGTGTCATTTAAATGAAATATCTTGTTAGAATAACTTTCCTCTGGTGTGAAAAATGGCAGCTATTGACACACAGAAGAAGCAATTTCACATTCAGTTTGGAAAATAGGATTTTTCAACCCTAGCACTTAGTGCCTTTATCCCTCTAATACTAATGCTGAGACACTGCAGGGAGGGTGAGTTTAGGAAAAAAAGTAGTGGACTGTAGAGATATGGGGGAGAGCTGGTGGAAAAAATAGAAATGGGAATTTTGACAGAAGAAGGATAATATAATAGGAGAAATTATCTCAAAGTCAACAACTACATAATAATATAGCAGGGTTTCCCAGAATTTTTCATTCATTTTTATTCATAATTCTCACAACCACTACATGAAGGTGGTGTTGGGCTCAGAAAATAATAGTCCAAAATGAAAGCCTCAGAAGCAGAAGTTTTTCTCTGACCTTTTCTTGTCCTCCTGTCTCCCCCTAGGCTAGCCATAGAAACCAGAATCCTTCTTTCCCAAGGTGGATCATAGAAACCAGAACCCCTTTCCCCCAAAGCCAGTCATAAAACCTAAAAATATTGCTCCAAAAATTTCCCTTTGCTATTCTGTGTAAAAACTGGCTGTAAAGAATTTATTTGACCTATGTTGTTTGACTATAAGTCTTAAGACTCCCAT